CATTTCAACAAATTTTGGTGGCACTCAGCTTCAGGAAGCAATAACATGCTTAGTGAGATCAACTTTGTCTTTGGTCTTGCTTTTTGTCAGTGAAGAGCATCTTATTTTCTAAAGGCCTTTAGAAAGTCAAAGATATAATCTATCAGAACTGATTATCTGCAGTCTGATCATTTCCTCTCACTCCTAATTTAACATGCTGAAATAAGATATTTTAAATTGATTTCCTTATATGTCAAAATGCCATCAGCACCATGACCTTGTTAAAAATAAAATCAATTTTCTAATAAGTAAGCTGGCTGAATGAAACCTTGAAACCTGTCAAAAATAGAAGATGGCATCCTGTTTTACTTCTACAACACTACTTTGGAAATCCTGATCATCTCACATCTCTTGTTTAGGAAACTTCAAAACACTATATAATTAAGCTTAAAAAATACTTATATTGAGCAAACTCCAATGTATTTTGTTTTTGTTGTTAGAGATAATTTGCAGTTGTAAGGAAAGGTTAATCCCAGCTTGGCTGAACACTTGATTTTCAAAACCTATGCAAGCTTTTCCCTGCACTTTTAAAAGATTCAGTTATTTTATTCTAATACTTCTTCCCTCCTTCTTAACACTTTTAGAATTGTAGACATTGCTTGGTTGCAAAAGGCATAGAAGTAATAATCCAATAATACATTATGCTTTTAATCTTTCTGTCTAAACTGAAAGATAAACATAATTACAAGTAAGCTTTTTCTCTGTAATATGCACCCAGCTGCAACTTTTATACTTTTTTTTCTACAGCATTATGTTGAAATTGAATGGAAAATCACAACCTGTTGATGTCCCCAAATCTGGTAATCTTAGTAAAGTCTTTCTTTATGGTAATCATTAAGAAATCCTATATTCCATTAACTGAAGCTAAGTTGTATGATATTTGTATACTGAAGAATCTCCTCCATTTGTACCCTTTCTCTGAATCAGGAAGGAAAAGTGTTCATTATCCTTTTCTTCTTTTTGTCCAGTATCTTAAAACAGTAAAGATAAAATCTCCCTCAAGTCAAATTCAATTCCTGATAACTTCATGGACACAGAATTACAGAATGGAAAGTTTAGGAGGGACTTGGAGATCATTTAATTTGACTCATTGCCCAGTTCAGAAATCTGCATCCCTGACAGATGGTCATTCAGTTTTTGTTTAAATATTGCCAACAAGGTAAAACCAAACACCTCCCAAGACAATCTTGCTCCTTGTGGAATAGCTCTCACCATTAGGATTTTTTTCCTGATGTCCAACTGAAATCTGCTCACTTTCTGCACATTCTTTCTTGTCTTCTTTTGGGGAACAAATCTCCTTAGTTATTATACTCATCTTCCATTTCCTATACATGTCTCTTTTAACTCTTGGGTTAATCAAAAGCTCCCAGGGCATCAAAGTGGTTTCTCTCTCATTGGTACAGGCTATGGTTGTACTTCCAGTGTCTTATTTTTGAAAAGTCCCAAACCCTCCTGAGCTGTCTTTGGCCTGAGGATTTCTATCTGAGATCCTGCCTAATATTTCTCTAAGTTTGTTCAAACTGGTTGTCCTGAAATCTAATGTGCACGCACAACTATCCTCTAGTTACTTTTTCTGTAGAATCCTGATAATGATAATGAGGTTCATTCAAGATAATGAGGTTACTTCTTTCTAAAGTTCCCACTACCCAACGAGCTTTCCTTCATTGGTTAGAATCAGATCTAGGGGAATCAATACATTGTTTGTTTAATTTCTTCAGAAACAATACAGAAATGGTTTGTCCTTGCCTTTTTGGGGGGGATTTCTTTTTGACTTCCCAGCCTAGTGTACAGTGCTTGAATTTTCTATGCTCTCCCATCCAAGTATTAGCCAGGTCTAACCTTGTTTGTTTTCCAAGTTCAGCTAAGATTGGCTGGGTGCCTATATAACTGGGCAAAAGTTAGCTTAGCATTTAAGCATGAGAGCATGCCTAAAGTTTTGCTTTGACTAGTGCTGGTTGGCTTTAAATATGATTGCTGAAAAACAATCATCAAGGTTAGTCCACTTTGAAAAAAATTTTGGAAGGCAATAGCAGACATTCCATACCATTACTTACATGGAAAAATTACATGAATGCATATCAGCTATTCTTCTTCTTGAAGAGGATGGACTGATTTGGATACAAGAATTCTTCTCATTTGATTATTGCTACTTATCCCTTATGGAGATGCTCTTAAACTACAAAACTAGATGGCAGAGAACGTTATATCATTTTGGGGGGGGGGG